GGGTGGCAGCGAGCTCCTGCGGGCGATGGATTGGGAGCAGCTCTGCCCGCCGGCCCCCACCCTGGACGGCGCCATCGACGTCCTCACCACTGGTGAGCGTGGCAGGCCAGACGGAGGCGCCGTGACCGTGCCAATCCATCACTCCCCTCTGGCTGCCCAGCCAAGTCCATGTTACCTTGTTCTCCCCAGCCAATCCCAACCAGCCTGCCCCGCCCTGCCAGGTATATAAGGCCCATGATGGTGTTGGGTGATGGAGTTCTTGTTTTCTTGGGCAGTGGAAGTGCCGCTGGAGCGGGAGCAGCTGCGCCAGCTGGTTCTCCAGCGCTTCAAGGAGGGGTTGGGCAATGCCACCAGCACGGACAAGAAGAGAAGGAACAGCGTGGACATGTGAGAGCCACGCAGGGATGAATTAAATAAATGGTTTCACTGTTGAGGTCCCCCTCTGCCAACTCCCTTTCCCTCTGGAAGGAGGTTGATGCCTTCCAAAGCTCGCCGGATGATATTTCATCATGGCTTCATCCACTGCTGACGGCAGCCACGGCTGGGGACAGCTGCTCTCCAGCTGGGTGCTGTCCCCGCTGCAGGACCCAACGTGCTTTCTGCAACCAGGCATCGCATGGCGAGTAGGGAGGAGATAGGGACCAGGGTCCCGATTCCACACCATGCTGCTCTGAGGGTCCTGGAGGGACATAGAGGGGGTGGGCCTGCTTGTTGGATGTTCCCTGCCAAGCTGGCAGAGTCAGGCAGCTCTCTGCTGCCTAAAGCCAAGCTGGTCCTGGGCTGGTGGGACCAGGTGGATGCTAGCCACAGCCCAGTGAGAAACAAGCTGTTTGGAACTGGGCCAGGCTGGGAAATAGGGCAGAGGCACCTGAGAGCACCCAAGGGTGATGTGCACCCAAAGGAAGCTGGGGGCAGCAGGGTCTGGGGGCTCTCCCTGGGCACAGACACACCATGCACCACACTAGCAGCTGGATTTCCTCTTGCCAAAAGGCAGTTTAATGTGGATGCCGTTCATGTGTTCCCTGGGGCGGGAGAGGCAAAGAGACCCTCCGCTGTGTCACCTGGAGAGAGGCAACCTTGCGGTGCCAGCTCCAGAGCCGAGCGTGGGCTAGTCCTTCTCTTCGCCGTGCGTAATGATGTGGACGAGGTTTTTGTAATCCAGGTTGCCAGACATGTCTGGAGGGAAGGCTGCAAACATCTGATCGACCTGCTGGGAAAGAACCGGGGTGACAAGACAGCACGGAAGGGGTTTGGGGCTGAGGGTCTGTCGGGATGGAGGGTGCAGAGGCTGGCAGAGCAGGGACAGAGATCCTATCTCTTCCTGGGAAAATCTCTCGCCCTGCGTCATCAGCATTTCTTTGATGCTGCAAACAAGAGAGCGAGGTGAGCCCCTCCATGCCTCAGCGGGGACACCTTCCCTCCCCACCCCAGGCACTCCGACACTCACTAAGCAGACTTCAGGCCTTTCCCCTCTGGATCAAACACCTTGAAAGCGTTGAGGATCGTCTCCTCCGGGTCGGCACCTGTGGACGACATGGCCACGGCCGTCGGAGGAAGCCAGCAGTAGCCTCGTGCTTCCCGCAGCCACTGGGGAGAAGTTGGGGGGGGTCAGGCTGGGCAGCGGGGGGCTCTGCGGAATGCTGACCCTGCAGCTGGGGCCTCGAGCGCAGGCGGCGGCATGTAGAGGAGCAGACGCAGGGTCATGGTGTGTTCGCAAAGCTGGCTGCGTCGCAACCACCCCGGCATCCGGCGTCTATCTAATCTTTTGGGTGTATTTATAGAGCTCCAGGCATGGGCCCTCAAGGCCGTGTAGCCTCCTGGAGATCTGCGTGGAGGCTGCGTGCCTTGGGCTGTGTAAGTGATAGAGGCTACAGCCGGACGGGGCTGTTGGGTCCGCATGACGCTGTGGCCAGTGCCCTTGCCAGGATGGTCGTTGGTGCCACCATTGGGGTCAGAAGGCTCAGGATCTCCTGTCGCCTCGTTTTACGGGAACAGCAGCACCACAGCCTGCTGGATTTTTTTCAGTGGTTGGGGAAACTGAGGCACGGAGACCTGCACCAAGGGATGGGTGAGGGAGGGAGATCATTTCACCCAAAACCCAAGGTTGTCCCCAAGTGTCACCATGGTGTGGGAGGCCTCTTTGCTCTGACTCCCTTCCTGGGCTGTCCACACCACAGCATCAGTGTTAGCAGCTCCCACGGGAGACCTCCAAGGAGTCTCTGATGGGTCTCACTGGAAGGGTGACGGATGGCCTGGGAGTCAGGTGGCTTCCCCAGGTGCCGTGAGATATTGGCGATGGTGC